TCCCATACGGACAGATCACGCAGTTTTCCATGGTGCAGGTTCGATGTACCAGCAGTACAGAATGGGTAAGCGAGCCAGCACTGGACGTTCAATTCTGCTCATAAAGCAGACAGCGAGGACAGGTGCCAGCCGCTGCCCCATTGCAAGTCCTCTAGTCTGTGAGAAGTACCTCCCGGACCACTTGAATATATTGCAGTTCAGACACTCCCTGATGAGAACCATCATCCTCTTGCTCTTGTTGTCTTGCTCAGCTCGCCAAGCATTTCTGAAACTGCTTGTAAAGCTTCGTTGTTGCTAACGTTTGTGTAGAGCGCAGACACGTCAAACGATTCTACAACACAGTCGTGCTGAAGTCTGCAAGAATGCAAGCGATCTAGGAACTGGCGCGTATTTGACAAATGTGATGGTATATACACGAGAAGTTGACCGACAATCTTGCTGAGTAACCACGAAATGCGATCGGTCGGTCCATTTACACAGCTCATAATTGGTCTTGTTTTGGAGTTACCAGTTGGTCAGGAATCGCCTCTATGACCGAACTTGCACCATGGAAAACTGCGTGATCTGTCCGTATGGGAAAGTGGGTGACTGTACACAATGGGCTGTAATTTACCAGATACAATGTTTGACTTGTGGCGCATTATATATCGGTGAAACTGGGAGGCAATTATGTATACGCGTAAAAGAACACCTGGCTAGCAAAAGACGCGAAAGTTTAGTTGCACCGCTCGGCAAGCATAGGAGGGAAAATCATGGCGGCTGTGATTTTGATATCAAGTGTACGATACTGGCTCACGAAAATGATGTTGGTGCTAGGAAAACTCTCGAGGCTTTCTGGATAAAGCACCGTAATCCATCTATGAATAACAGGAATGAATGCATCTCAATAACTGCCGATTTCTTGCCCTACATTCCACTTTGCGGGCTTTAACAGTGAGAACGTGATGCACTGCACGTACGCACTTTATCACACTATGGCAGTGCACAACAGTGAGTCTCATTTGCTCCATTGTGTGACGAGAGTTGAGCGAATCTTCGGCGCTGGTGGAATTGACGAGGTAACTTATTGCTGGAGTTTCCTTTTCGCCTGTAGCTCCTTGGTCTGGATTGCTTGAGGGGGGTTGAATAGGATAGATAGTATTCAACGAGTTTCGGTATGCTTTCAGGCCTTTGAAAACGACGAGATTGTCGAAACGTCAGGCGTAAATAAAGTATTCCACCATACAAACCTGTTTGGCATAAGAAAGAAGTTATCGATCCGTCTAAGGATGATCTGGCGATGATTGCGGGGCTCTCGTTCCTCCTTGGCCATAACTTGGGAATATTGCTACTTTAGGATATTTTCATGAACATTACATAGATCAACATCACGCAACCATTACGGTTTTGAAATTTCATAGAGGAACTCTCGCTGGAACATGATTTGTAACGCTTCCCGTTTCCCTAATCCATAATATGACATCCGTTTTGAATCATAATCAACATGGTACCAACAACAATTCCGCAGATTTTGTTGTGAACCCATCCATAGGAGTTACTCAAGGCCATAACGGTGCCACATGACGCCCGCTCTGAGAAATGAAGCCAGAATCGTTAGTGTGGCTTTCAGCCATATCTACAGGCAAACGAATTGATGTCACCCCCCTCTTGAGGATTCTCGTCAGCCTTGTCAGTTGTTATCACTTCCTGCCACCCACCGATAATGTTTACCTCAGCCTTTACCAATTTGAAATCTCTACGACTGAATCCAAGAAAATCATGAGTCTCAGGTCAAACACTAACAAACAAACACGCACACACCAACAGACACACTAGTAGTAGGATTAAATGTCTACTGGATGTATAAGTCATGAACAACAGGGTGGGCTTTTCGTCTTCGTAAGCCTGCGCGTGAACTGGGATTGAGCATATGCGCAAATTATGTCCGGCTGTAGTTGGCGCTACATGTAGAAATGATGGCACACTAGCACTGAAGAGGTGGAAGTACGAGTTTGTCCATGTTCTAGGCGTTTTTGGCGGGCTGATTTATTTCAGCGTGGGCGCCGATTGTCAAGCAGATAAGCTTGGTAATGTACTTGAAGCTCTTACTACGGCCTGATATAAACTTCAGCCCTGTCAATCTCCGCGGACCAATCGCGAGCTAGGTCAAAACTCAGCTTCAAAAAATGAGTTGAACGAAAGGGAGGGGACTCCGCTCTCTTCTGACATTAGCTTTTTCATTTGAGGCTCACTAGTTCAGGAATGTTACAGACTCGAGCAGCAGCCCACTGAAAATCGTTTCAAGTCGTCTTATTTGTCCTTTCATCAAAGGATTCAAGCCATGTGGTTTTACCTCGGACTCACTATATGTACTGGGCTTTCGTGGCGTAAGTGTGCATTGATGACACATGAGTGGACTGTGATGATTCGCAAAATTGAGAAAAAAAATACGTTTTTTCCTCCTCTCAAAGGTTCACAAATACTCGAGTGCGTTGCTCCAATTCGATCTATTTACTTAAAGGCCATAGCCGCGACAGTGGAGAGTTCACACCTGAAATCGAGGTTGCATCAACAAATTCATCACGCGCGGCAGCACTTCTGCTTTTGACATGTGTTTTTTTTCAAGTCGACTCATATTCAAACCCAGATTGGAGTGCAGCTCACACGAGGTTTACACCTACACCAGGCGCATTATGGTAACTCCACCACATGTGAATTCTGCGAACTCGGCCTGAAGGTTTCTGAAAAGTTTGTGAGAGAACATATACTAAAGCAAATGCCGGTTTGTTTGCCAACATCATTTCAATAATGTGCTGCTCACCTAGGTCACCTAAGGACCCATGGTACTATTACACATAGTTTGGGTGTGCGTGACTATCAGCCCCCAGCTGTCAAAACGTAGAGGTTTTCTGAACGTGCGCAGGAATGGAGATACAGGACGCAGCGCAGACTTCCGCGTTTATGCTAACAGCCGTCCGCGCGGCGCGTGTCGCGCGCAGCGCTCTTGGCACTTTGCCAAGTCCTGTAATTGCGCTTTGGAATACAAGTAAAACGCAATTTCCTGATGCGGATAACAGAGCAACTGTGCTGCTTCTGCAATATCCCTCGGAGGCCGCGCATTCCCACAAAACATGAAAATAAAAACGGCCTAAGCGTCCCACTCGTTAGTTTAAAGTATTTTTATGGCTTTGGAGCCAGAATCGCGCCGCAGAAATTTACACGCGATTTTGATTGATTGCTTTTCCTCAATTTTTGCATTTTTTGCATTTTTGTGTACTACTGCACCGTGACCTTTCAATTCTCGCTGTCGATTCGGCGTTAGACTTGCAGTCCTGTCAGCTGCGGATGGTGGGACGTGTAAGTGAGGCTGGGTTTGGCGAGTTGTCAGCACGATCTCCGCCAGTTGCTGAAACGGGTAGGCGACAATGGTGGAGTGCGGCTGATGCGAACATAAGTCTTGCGAGTTGTGAAAAAGAAATAATAAAAGATGGCGCTCCATTGAAGGCATCTCCTGCTGCTTTCTATCATCCGCAGCAAAGAAGACTGTACAGATGTTCAATTGAAGCTTGAACAGGTTTTAGTCGTCTTTCAAGCGCATTCGTTGAACCCAAGCTGCTTAGCTTAGAGCAGGCAGTATTATAGCAGGCAGTATATTATATTATAGTATTAAGAGGGTAGCCTTGCAGAGTCCTAATTGCTCTTCGGATACCACTGCTCATATGTAGCTTGCTCCCGAATCGCGCGTATCTGTCGACATCTTCGACCGGGTATTCTCTCAAGGTTACAGCGCACCTCCTGCGAATCGGTTCCGTATGATTGTAGTTAGAAAGCATTGCCAGGTCGCGTTGATGCCGCCTACCTTTGTCCAAGCGCTTCCGCATCTCGGCAACAACTTTTGGCGGTGATCACAGGATGTCGTTGGCTAATCGAAAGTCATTGAAAAGGAAAGGTCAAGAGAGTTTGGTACTTCTGCTATGTCTTAGTGCTTGTCCAGCCTTCTCGCTGGGACGTTTTGTAGAAGATGTCTATGTGTCCCATTGCAAATAATACTTGAGAAGGGGAAATTCAGGAGAAGGGAAGACCAACACTATTGCACGGCAGACCAGAGCAAACCCTACCCGTGATGGTAGAGCGCACTGCTACCTAGAAAGGGCTCAGTTGGTGGTGAATCCTTGCCAAAACAGTCATTTACTTCCACCGGAGGTCAAAGGCACTTCCCGCGATGGCAATAGTTTATAACGAGTTCGAAAACAGAAGTACATTGTACTAGTTGACGTGAAAAAAAAAACTATGAAAAGCCTCCCCGAATATTCTTTCTTGCACTTGATCATGATCACCGGACAAGCGTACCAGGTCAAGTCAATGATATGCAGAAGGTGGTGATACATTGCGAAGTGCCGAGAGAAACCAGAAATTGATGGGCGAAGAGCACAACGGGATTCCCACGACGACGCGGGCAATGTAGTCCGACATGGGCATCCTCGGCCTGAAACGCGCGCTCCCTGCGTCTTGACCCTAATTATCAAGTTTTGGGAATAGTCAAACCTCATTAGTCACGTGCCGGATCGCAGAGTACATTTATGAGGCTCTAACGTTAGTTTATCGCGGAACATGCCCTTGAACTTGGCTCTCCTAGCAAATGCCAAAGATTCGCTGTAGAGGCGCTATTTGGACAAGTTTCCATTTCCTCGCCTGACCTCATAGAGCCAGATTCCATTCTTACTCCGAAACTAACTAACTTCGTCCAGAATTAGATGAAAAGGGCTCCAAAAGTTCCAATCCTGAAGATTCTCGTCGAAATTGTGACACAAGCCTGAGTCCTGCTCACTTTGAAATGCGTTTCACTTCGCATTTTCCGCGACGTCGGGAACGTGAATATTGGAAAGACAATAATAAATATATTCTCTCGTAACTGGTAAAACCTGATGTTGGCACAGTAACTCGCGGTTGTTTTCAGCTGTTTTTCAAATGAAACGTTCTAAAAACATTAAGTATTTGTACGGCTCATAGGTGGAGCTACCATGAGGCGACGCGGTGTAGGTTGTGAGCCGGTAAGAAATTTGTAAAATGTGAAACTACTTGTAAATAATTGGACGACTTCATATCATGCGCTTCTTTTCTTTTCAGAGTGTGTTTTATGTTGTTGACTACAGTAATTATGAAGTGATATACAAAGTGGATTGTGGTGGAATCCGTCGTCAGTGGTACTTCCATGTAGGCTTGGAGCTAGCAGTGATGTTGACGAACATTAGAGAAGACCCTTCCATAGAAAAGAGCATAGAGCAAGAGGAAAAGGATCGAGAAGTCGAGAACCTCTCAAACAAGATTGAGCTCCAGTGCACTTTGGGAGGGGAAGTATCACCAGGACATGCTCAAGAGAGACCATCAGCCGAGACTCATGAAGGAGAACTACGCAAATGGTGCTCGCCGGAACAGTTCAATACTGTTAAAGAGAAAGGCAGTGAATATCTGCAGGAGCAAACCAAAAATAAGGAGAACCAGTTTAGAGAAGTGAATCTCGCAACATATGATCAGGGTGAAACGCAGTTCGCCTCTAACTCCAGGAACGAAGGCGAAGAAGATCATAGCTATGGCGACAAAGGAGCTAATGAGCAGGTGAAACCATTGTCAAAGGTAAGAGAGCTGGGTGGTCTGGAAAGTCTCCGCCGAATTTAGTCGATAACTATATACTTTCAATATAGCTGTTGAGCAGTAGTCATCTTTTTGCAAGTTTCGTTATCCCACTCTCATTGATGGGACGGCTATAAAGTTACAGCTGTATCAGCTCTTGCGGAGGCTATTTGCAATTTTTCAGAGAATGTTCTCTGTTGGAGACCATGTCGGGGTTTATCCCTATCAGTTTCTCATGTGAGTAATCTACTAAGTCCATTCCATGCGTGGAGTAACGTATTTCGACTTATCTCTAGTAACTTTTGAGTGCGGACCAAATTTAGTTGTGGTGCTGTATAATCCTGGTGATAGACGGAATTGATTCTTGCGAGATTCCACACTGTTATTTTCAAGTTGAGTCCCAAAGTGTCTACTTGAAAAGAGTGTGTTCTGGAAGTGTATTTAGTTTTGCGACAGCACACCGGTACAAATATCGCTGTGCCAATAACAAGAAAAGAGCACAACATCATACATTTTAGCATAGGATTCTACGGATTCCGCGTGGCAACTCGGAGAAAAAATGCTCGCGATTCTTTTCATCTACTCTGTCGTAGCCAATTCAGTTCCATCTTCGGTTGTCTTTTATTGTTTTCGAACTTGTTTTTGAAGAACCAAAACGGGTTTACCACTTTCAAATTTTCGAGTTTTTCTTTTGGATCGTTGTCTCTAGGAGTACACTCCGCTTTTGAAACTCGTTGGCAGCTAGGCTCAGAAACAAAACTCTTGGTGTTTAGTTAGTTAATATTGAAGGAAAAGGCAAAGGAAAGCTGGAAGCACATTATAAAGCCCTGCAATACAGTCTCAAAGCTGCTGATTTCTAATTGACAGGATCACGTTTACACTCACAATGGAGCGTCAACGCACCAAGACATCCTGCAGCGCGATGCCGTTGCAGTTGCACATCAGTGCTACCAACTCTGTCATCTCTTTAGCGATTTACTTTGGTTATTTGAAGCCTTTTTCATGAAAGCATCTGTTTCAAATTTCAGAATGTTCAGTCTCGGGTTATTCTTCGTATTTGAGCATTTCAGTCCATATTATTTCCTCATTTTGTCCCGATATCGAAATGGTTTTCATACACTGTCGATACGAGGTCCTCTCCAGCTTCACAGATATTCTTAATGCGTTCCCCGTCGCACCTTCTTCATTGATGCAGCTCGTGATAGCAACTAACCTCCTTCAGTCGCTAGCACTTGATTCTCTCTGAGTCGCGTCGTTCTGTGTACTTCAGTCTAGGAGCTACAAGTCTAAGCGTGCAGATGAGCGGGTGGTGTTGCGTGGCTACTGTTTCATACGACACTACCCTAGCCTCGGTAACAATTCCCTTATTGCCATGTCTGATGAGAACGAATTTTGTTTGCGTTCTTCTACACTCACCGTACAAGTTGATTTGATGTAGTCACGTTTGCGAAACTTTTGTGTCAAGTATGACGAGGTTGTGCGTGTCCACATACTCAAAGATTCGCTTACTGTCAGCATCCGTGATCGGTATCCGAATCCGCCGTGACAACGTACGTCATCCACAGAGCCCACGTGCTCGTTTGAGTCGACAGCTACAGTTCTTTTGTTGGTACCTGAACCGTCATTTAGCAGAGCCCAGAATCGTCTTTGGATTGCTCCTAGTTTGCGGTGCATAAGCAAAGGAGAAGAGCTATAGTCGTCGCTCGAAAGCGACAACAGTTTTCATCACGGTCGTGAAATCCGATCGCGCTAGTAATCGAGTAGCGGAAGCGCTGATACACGATTATATCCGTACCACTTGTAGTTTTCGACCATCTCTGGAGAACGGCTTTGAAGCCTCGACCATATTCTTTTGACCTGTAATCGGGTCTCTCGTCTCTTGCCCTGCGCCCCTGTCGGCCTTTCTACGCTCTACCGCTTCTGCCAGCTCGCGCGAACGCCCCCAACGTTAGACGTTGCAAAGCAAGCCTTCAACACGCGTCATGATTTTTATACTCGTCTTCTTGCCCCACGATGCTGTCACCTGCATTCGAGCGTCCCGTTTAACTCAGCCCATAGAAGCGAGCAGTTCTCAGTTGCACCACGTGGAAGTGCGGACACTACCACCTGTTCCTGGATCGTTGACCGCTGTATTGTGACAGGGCAGCAGTGCATCCATATCTTTGTTGAGTTCATTTTTCAATATTTTGTTGAGGTTTGCGGTCGCTCGAAATTACCGCCTTCCTTGGCTACCTTGCAATCGCAATGACTTTCCGCACTGTTGGCCGACGATGATCCTCCTGAAACGTTCCTATGAAAGGACCCTACTTTGCGCGATTGCTGCTCTTTCGTCCCTTTTTCGCTTCACTGTCATTCTATTAACACAACTATATCCATCTCTATTTGGGCGAACAAACTATCGTGATAACTTCCATCAAGCCTAATAAAGCCAAGCCCATTGATTGATCTCACTAGAGAAGGTCGCTGGATTGAAGTGGCCATTTGTAATGAGAGTAGCACATGGGACGTGTTTTTGGGCGCTGATCTCAAATTTGCCTTTGCAGAACGATTCTCTGAGCGGAGTTATTGGGCTTTTTTTTCCGCGTCTATCACGCAACAGGTCATGAGATCGGATCCCTGCTAAGTTAACTTTTTGCCTCTTGGCATGAATATGGAAAAGAGTGGTTTTTGCCGTCAGTACTACTTCAGTGCTCATCTAATACTTGCCTGAAAAAACTTTGCGTCCGTTTATTACTGCGCTTGGGCTCCTTGTAGAAGCCTTGTAGTGCAGGAAAAAGATTTGGGCGTACAGGTGCCCGTCGTGCGTGATACAGGCCTTTCCGAGTGCCACATTCGTGTTCAGCTAGTCAAAATACCTTCTTACACAAGTTCCTAGTCAAATCTGGTATTTTAACCTGAATTCGGAAAGTGAAGCATCCATAGGGTGCAAATCAATTCATGTCCACACCTATTCAGCTACAGATACATTCTACTGTGCAAAGCGTCATCTTGCCATTTCTGACGCTTTCATTTTGTACTGCTTCAGTTTTCCTGATACCGTAACGCATTTCCCGTCCGAAGATAAGCAATCGATGAGAAACTTGTCCCCATCGTTCTATCAGCTACTGCCGCACAACCTTACATTGGGTTGGAAATCTATTAACAGGGGTAGTTTTGCTCCCTGAACACGAATATGGCACCCATTTGGCGTTTGAGTGTTTTCTAGACTGAAAAGAGACATTCCTCACGAAGTTTAAAAAGGTTGGCCTCCGCAGAACCCGAACCTCTATGTCACGCCTATGAGGCAAGACCGCTACCACTACATAGTGCCGTTGATTGTGTTTGCGCCTAACGGCTCATAGTGCGAATCGGCTTCAACCGCGCTCGACTCCCTGTCCCTTCAGTCGAACAAACCTTCATAATTCCGTTCAGAGAATCGTTCTGCAAATTTTGAATGCAGATTTGAAATCAGCGTTCAAAAACACGTCCCGTGATATACGTCTCGTTACAAATGGTCACTTCGAATTGGCAACCATCCCTAGTAAGATAGATGAATGAAGATGCACTAGATATCGGCTGGAGATTTTCAGCGGGTCAGTACAGTCAGAAGACAGGCACATTTTCAGCAGTCTTCCCACCTGCTAAAAGGTGAAGGTGACGGTAGTGACAACGAAGATAACGACCACGAGATCGAATTGGTTTACGATGAAGGATGTGAAACGGATTGCGTTGGAAGCTACGCCATAGATGAAATGGATGATGAGGCAGAAAAGCAAATACAAGAGTACGCTAATGCACCTCGGAAGGCGAAATCAGGAAATATTGCTGTCCTTGAATTTCTGCGCCGCAATGTAAGCACTTTGGTTGGTTAAGCAAGGAGCTGGTAGTCGCCAAGCGCGTGCTAGGGAATCTACTTGATTTTAGATCTCTTACTTTCTGCTCCTTGCTCTTCTGTTTATAGTAACTGTTAACATGACTGTTCTATCACAGAACCTCAATACAGTCGTCATGGCTCTCAGTCCGCCACGTTACGTTTCTGGTCCATTGCATCGTCGTAGAATTTGTGGAATACGCTTTGTTACCTGTAGCAAATCGTATTTACAAGGCATATCCGTCAGCGAAGATCATCATGCACACATGTTTGCCTATGATATTAGCAAGTCTTGTGAGTGTAATTGCTTTTCTACGCTCTATAGTAACAACATAGTGAGGCTATCTGCTTGTGCTGGGATATTGTAAGATGCCATGCCTCCTAGGCCCGACCGTATGGCTGTATCCAGAGACACAACCCACTTCTAGCTGTGTTGGCCTGTTTTCTCTGTGAATGGTGTCCTTTTTCCGATTCTGCCTGTCTCGCGACCAGAGTCTGGGTTACAAGACGGGAACTAGTCACATGGCCCACAAAGTGCTACAGGTCCTAGACAGGGGAGTGCCCAAATAGACTGTATTGTAAAAAGCCCGTTCTAATGATGGTGTCGTAGAAGCTAAATGAAAGTCAAAAACACAAAAAAAAACACTGGTAGAACAGGCGGTTTTACGGGATTCAATCAACTTCAAACTATTATAAAAACTTCAATTTGACTGCACACTATTGATGTGTCTTTTGCACCAAAGAACGCACAAAAAAATTGCGGAAGTGTTGTATTCCCTGTGCGGTTTCTCGGGGGGTTGCATGGTTTCCGATCAAAGTAGTCGGATTTTGCAATAATCTTCTCGCGAAACGTGTGCAGTGTCTAAGGCTTCATAATAGTTCAGGTATGTCTATAACTTAAGTATTCATAGCCCACTAATTAGCATGTTATCCTTATAAAAAAGTTGTCCTTTGAAATGGTGCCTATCCCTGTACTAATCTTTGGCTCTGCAAGATTGGCTCGCTCCGATGACATTCTACAATCGGGCGCAACCGACTTGCGTTGAGTGCATCCAGCTGAAGAAGAACGATTGGGTTGTAGTTATTGGAATGGTTAACGGTGTCGTCATTGCCTATACTATGCGCTGTCGAGGTGAGTATTCAGTGACATGTTCCAGATTACCTACCAGTATGCAATAAAAAGGGACATTCGTGAAACCTAGAACTGCGTTCATACTTTGCGGCAGCGTCCACCCGAGATCAGTAGCTCCACCAGCTGCGAGCGTCGGGCAGCATCAGCGACTAGGGAGTCAGCGTCCATCAGCGTAATGAGGTGTAGGGAAGCATGAGCATCAATCTAGCGCCTGTCAGCGTCTACCAGCGACCAGCAGCATCGGGGAGTGGAGAGTATGGGGCCTATAGGGGGGAGCAGAATGCTAGTAGGGAGCATGCGCGTCAGGATGGTAGCAGCTGTCTGCAACGCCCCCATCGCGCCATACCCTCCACACCAGAACGCTGCTGGTCGTTGGTAAACGTCGCCAGACGCTAGATCGATGCCGACATTTCCTAATGCTTAGAAACGCTGCTGGACGCTGGCAGGGATGGCAGACGCTAGATTGATATCCATATTTTCCCAGTCGCTGTTGTTGCCGGTCGAGCAGGCAAGATTCCGTCGAAATTTCAAAATTGGACCACATTGCAACCTGTTGGCATCGCAGCTCGAGAGCACCGCATTCCTCTTGTACTCACATTCGTCGACTACAAGAAAGCGTTTGACTCAGTAGAGCCAATGAAAGTTTGGGAAGCGTTAGAAGAGCAAGGAATTGAGAAGATCTACATAGACGTGCTAGAATGTTACACCGGTTGTACCACCACGTTCCGCCCATTCTTCAACGACGTGGTAGTATCAATTGAGAAAGGTGTGCGACAAGGTGATCCGATCTCACCCAACCTGTTCTCCGCATGTTTAGAATCCGTTATACGCCGCTGCGATTGGAGCAAGTTGGATTGAACATCGACGGTACTCTTCTGAACCATCTGCGATTCGCTGACGACGTTGTCCTGATTACCAGCTCACCAGAAGAAGCTTCCGAGATGCTGAATCGTCTGGACCAAGCAAGGGAGTCCGTACGGTTTAACGATGAACACCTCAAAAACGAAAGTCATGCGAAATCAATTCGCTGGAGGTGCAACCGTAATGTTGAAAGGGAACCCAATCGAGGACGTTGAGGAATACGTGTACCTCGGCAGCCAGCTGAACATGAGGAATGATTTAACTGGAGAGCTAGCGAGGCGCTGCAATGGATGGGCAGCATTCAACTCTATAAAGAGCGTCGTGGAAGATACCAAGAGTCACAAACTCCGTGCGGACCTCTTCAATACAACAGTGCTGCCTGCCCTTAGCTACGCGGGAGAAACTTGGGCCCTAACGAAAGCGCACAAAAGACGGTTAAAGTTATCCAAGCATCATTTGAGCCACCTAGTAGGCCTGTCGTCAATGAGAATTAAAACTTCCACAACTCAGACGTCAGAGCCATGTCGAAGATCAAGGACATTGTACTCCACGTCGACGAAGCAAAACATCGATTTGCTGGTCATGTGATGAGAAATGACGGAAGATGGAGTTCCGCGACCATACGATGGTACCCGCGTGACAAGAAGCGACCGCCGGGCCGCCCTCCTCTGCGCTGGGCCGATTCTCTGGCCTATCGCAACAATGTTTATGATCAGATTTCTCTTAAGGTCTCTATGCACTGGACAAGCAAGGCTCAAGACAGAGATCAATGGAAAAGAAGTTGGGACCCGCGCAAGGTCAACCGCCGTGCTGAAGAACGGGTCGCCTAAGTAACCTAAGTAAGTAAGTGATGCTGCCCGAAAGTGGTGCTGCCCGACGCTCGGTACGCGTGGACGCTGCCGCAAAGTATGAATGCTTATCGGTTCTGTGTATTTGAAGGGATCTCTAACGTTGTGAGAGTAGCTTGTTGGGAAAGTGCAGGAGTTATGGATTTGCAGAATGAATAAACAAGAATAGATAGTCTTCGAGCTCAAAAAAACTGCGTAAAAGCTCTTTTTCTTCAGACCGGCTTCGCCTTGCCAACTACCTAGTTCCCTCTTCAGAGTTCAAACGCAAAGGAATTAATTCACGTGTTGTTCATCTGGACATAGCGAACGTAAGCTTATCATTATAGGAGCTTTCTTGTGCGCCTATCGACCTTGAGTTTCTGATTTTGAGAGAACTCGTAGTGTCGTATAAGTATAGACTGCTTTTCATTGAGTGGGAGCGCCTCACGAGATTTAAACTTATGTCGAGCGTGTTCACCAACTTCCGTGTTATAACCTACGATTCGTTTGGGGATCAGTGACCGCAGCACAATTCCGGAGTGTTAGTTCGATAACTAAGACGGTACATCTTGAGCACTAAATTCACTTTCCCGAAGAGGAAAACAGCAATAATAAGTTAACACAGTGAAACAACTGAGGTATTAATTTATTCACATTGAACACATTACGGTTAGCTTAAGTTCTGACTCAGTGGATTTCTTCAGGGCTTGGGAAGTCTGAAATAGGATTGTGATTCCTTACGTTTAGTTCCGCTTGTGATTTTGCAAGCAAGTTATATATCATCTGATAGGAAACTTCTCGTAGTATAAGAATATCAAAAAAGCTTTGGTTGAGGATATAGTTTTTGTGAATTTTTTAGTCGTTGAAGTTGGAAGTGAAGTCGGCGAAAATTAGCATCTTCGACAACTGCCTCTATTTACGTCTACTCGAAGTGCTAAAATCGCTTAAGCTGCTCCATACATTCGGAAAAGGTTGAGGTAGAAGTCTCAGCAAGGGAATCTCAATAGGACGCTTTGGAACGAATTTCAGAGAATTCTCGAAGTATTAGAATATCTATTTGAAATTTCATGCTAATAGTTGAATTAATTGAATTTGAATTTGATATTCTAATACTACGAGAAGTTTGCTATTAAACGATATTAAGCTTAATATCGTTTAATAGCAAACTTCTCGTAGTATTAGAATATCAAATTCAAATTCAATTAATTCAACTATTAGCATGAAATTTCTAAATAGAGGCAGTTGTCGAAGATGCTAATTTTCGCCGACTTCACTTCCAACTTCAACGACTAAAAAATTCACAAAAACTATATCCTCAACCAAAGCTTTTTTGATATTCTTATACTACGAGAAGTTTCCTATCAGATGATATATAACTTGCTTGCAAAACGTTTCACTTTTCGAACAAATTTTTCAATTGAAAAAAACGGCCATTACTTATTAGCCAACCTAATATAATATGGTAGATGGCAATCGCAAAGTAGCATTTTCACTAGCACAGACCACCCACGAACTGAGAACAGTGGTACAGGCTAACCTTTCTAGCAACGCGCTATCCTGTTTAGACGCTGTCGTAATTTTTCACTTTGTTAATCACTTCCATTTGCCATTCCGATTTTAGAAACACTCAAAGAACGCTGATTCATACTTATGCGTGGTATCGTACGCCGATGGTAAAATATTGTGAGTATTTTGCAATGTGGTTTTACAGAACTGATTATTTCCAAGGGTGTAATACTCGGTGAGCTTGTTTTACCATAGATGTTTGGACATTACAATTCATCAAAATCCAGTGCTGGCCGAAATATCGAAATCAAGCGATTTTGGTACGTTGGCTACCATTAAGGACGAAGTTTTCGAGAAAGTGAGTCTATTTCGTGAAGATTCCTTGATTTCTTTTTGGTTAAAGCCATGACATAATAGCAGCGATTCAATGAAGCTAACCTAAGAGCGTCTTCACCCGGGCCAACGCGAGTACTTTATTCACCAGTAAGGGAGAAATTCTCGTAAGCTGTGTTGCATGGAGTGCAACAACTACAGTAACCCTCGTAGGAGTAACAACTGCAGTAGCCCAAAGGCCATACAAACGAGAAGAAGAAGCGATGAAGCAGTTGCTGTGATGGTTGAAATGCGAAGTGACTCTACAAAGCATAAATCTGAGACAAAGAGGTTTCTGGTGGTAGCGCAGTTGGGCTTCAAAGGTCACGTAGCTCCGGTTTGTTTCTTGGCTCAGTTCAATATTCTTTTCGGGTTCCCATTATTTTACTCTCCAGCAAAGCTAGATTTTTTGCATAGAAGGATGGAGCGTAATGGTGCCTAGAGTAGTGTTGCATGGTAAGCAGCGGAATGGCCTAGGTCCAGGGGTCGTGACGACCTTACGTCACCGACGTGTGTAGGGTCAAATCACAGACCAGCTCACACCCGAGGCATACATGTTTTCCTACATCGGCCGGCACACTGGTACCAGTCTCGTCTGGGACCCTTGGAACGGACTTATACATAGGTGGATTCACGCAAGTCCAGACCAGGGACATTGTACATGCTATATCGCAATTAGCCCGGTACTACCCTGCTGGATGGAAGTATAATGTGTTTCGCATCCTAAGAACAACGTGTCTGCGGCAGAGTCTTCAAGCTTAAAGGCAAGTGGTACGACAAATCCCCAAGACGTGTAGGATTAATACGCCTACGTGACCTCTGACGTGGGATTTTCTAAGGAAGGTATTCTGTGCCCTATCAAGCTGTAACAAACCGACCCAGACGCTCACCCCGCCTGCTCGCCTACGAATGTCCGACCAGTGCTGATGTTCGCACCGCATCATGCGAATTAGAGCTTAAAGCGAAGGAATTGATATGAAGCGGCTGCATGGATATACAGGAACATACATGCAGCCCCATCCACCGTAGCGGTTTTTTTGTACGATGCCTTGGAACGCTCACTGAAACTGCTACTGGTTTGTATGAAACAAAGGTTTTTTGAATGTTCTTGACCGCTTCACATCTTTTTTTCCCACTGTATAGCACCCCCCCCCCTCACAGTTTTAGATCAAGCATAAGTTGTCGTGCCTTATGCCTTCCAGGTACTCTGTTGGAAATGGAATGGCTTGTACTATATTTGTGCAGCGACATCAGACGGCTCCTTGTTGCTTTGGAAAGCAAATAAAAATTTCCCTTCCAAACAGGTTGCAACGGTAAGGCTTCCCATTCTGGTTTCTCTCAAGTATATTTCGGATCATTCTTTTTCAAATCGTTGAGCATGTAAAAAATTATATTAAAAAATTAAACTAAATAGCCAGTCATCTTCACTGCCTCTTTTGGGAGAGTCTTTTGAACGGTATTGTAACGAAATTGTGTTGTTCAGATACGTGTTGAGAACAGATATCTCACATCACTCGCAACAGCTATCGGCGATCAGCGGCGGTTCATTGCAGTTGGATCCACTTCTGGAAGAATATCTGTCTATCGTGTCATCAATGGTGAAACCCTTGTCCAGCTCACGTGTGTCACTACCTGTGGCGATAGAATCGGTGGTAGGTCCCATTAAAATTAAACATTAGAAGGAAACGTTGCGAAAATGGAACGCAACATCAGGTCATTCGCTTGCTTCATCAGTGCAGGTCATCCTGTGTGGTAAAGCTGCTATCCAACTATGAGCATCATTTATTGTTATTGTTAGATGATTATGCAGCGTTCAGACTTTGCGATGATGCCCTTCGATGCGCTGCAATTGCAAAAGCACTCCAGACCTATACAAGGACGCAGTGCAGACGGATGCATGGGCACCGGCCATTTGTGACTGCGGTCGCGTCAGACCGTTCAGGAGGGTATGAGGGAATAGGATGGTTGATTTCATCGAGTCACGCAGGCTAGTATTGATCGACGCTGGCCGTTCGCGTGAGGGCTTTGGAGCGTCATTGCAATTGTAGCGCGCTTTGAAGCGTCATTGCAATTGTAGCGCGTCGACGCGCGTCACAGCGCGTTACAGCCCATGGACGCGTGTCATCACAATGTCTGGACGCTGCCTCATCCAAATGCATGGTATCATGCAAACCTAGTTTCAAGTTGAAAGCGAAGACACGCCTTCATCGAACCCCTTTCACAACCTTGTTTTCCTCTCCTTGACTGGAATTTGATTTAGGTCTCGCCCTTGAATTGAACGAAGATCTCCTACGCATTCATTCTGCGCACAGATTTGGAATTTATACTGTACATGAACTAAATGTCGATGAAAATGCCAAGGTTTGGTCAACCAGACATTTCCTGAAGTCTCACGAGTGGACGTCTCCATCCCTTTCTCACATAATTTCAGCCTGCACTGGTGTACCGCTACCGAAGCTGTGTACGCCACCCAACGGATCTTGTGCTTCAGAAGCCGTGAGTTTTAAAGGAAAAGGGCAACAAGTCGACCGAGCCATGTGCATGTTAGGTATACCGATGTGCGCCCCTTGAGGCCTTGAACTCAAAAGTCCTTCCAGAATCTGGGGAATTGCCCTCGACGAAGTCATGGGGTTCTTCCTGCAAAATTTTCTCACCGGAGGATTGGTTTTGCTTAGCCTCTCTAGACTCGTTCAACAATGATCCCTGCATGATAAGGTGCGTGAGAGGCGTGAATCGAGGCGTCGCCATGGCAGACATTTCCGCCAAATGTTGCGAGCTCATAGTGGTGTCATTGGTGGAGTGTCTGGGCTGCGCATCAGTCCACGCAGCTTCACCCACCCCATCGTTAACGAGGATCACCACTGTACATAGGTGTATGTATGTCATATGGCAAATGACCTGGTCGACCTGTTGACTTTTGTTGGTCATCACTTTATATGATCTCTCTACCACCCCATTCGCTTGATAGAAATCGCGCGAAGTGAAATTGATATGGGCGCGAAGCGGACTTCTCGCATCATTAGCGCTTGCGATGGAGGATCCTTGTGAGCAACCTCGCTCTTCAAGGGCAAGTGGAATGTCTGTCTTTTTCTCAATTCTCGCCTCGGAGTTTATGTAAAGGAACTCCTGAAAAGCCCCTTATCCTGTGATGTCTTTATCCTAAATTCAGATGTGTGGTAATCAGTTAATAAATCTGAAAATTTAAAGTGCTGGAAACGGTATACTTCGGAGTGTCAGCCGTAAAAAATGGATTGTTGCGAACACAAATACACACCAAAAATTTCTCGGGCCTCTTCATGAGTTTAAGGCTGGTTTCCACTGAATGACGGCCGACTATTTGACCTGGCCTCTGCATGTTCTTCGTCAGAACCACAGACGACTCTCACCGGCAGCAATGCCTAGACTGATTCAGTGTTTTTGTGAAGCGATACAGTCGTGAGAACTGGAAGCCAGCAGGAGAAACTAGTCATATTAGGTCAGTGCCGAGACATAGAGGAATAGCAGAAAATCAAAGGGAACGGGCTACTATACCATTTGGAAGCTAGTACCTTAAGCTATGTATCTGTGAAATTTGGCGAACCTACCCACAGAAGAAGTTCTCGAGAAATTGAAAAGAAGCCCGAGTGGTGAAAATCAGCGCCGGATTTTCAAATCAGGCGTCATAAGAGGAAAGTGCGCTGCTCAAATTTGACCTGCGCCGGACCAGTAGTTGCGTGTAATGGTGTTCTCGAAATGCAAGGTGGAAGATTTGGTTCAGGAGCCCGAAGAAGGAAGAAAGGAAAAATTTGTTGTCGTGGATGGTCCCATAATGTTCATCCTGCACAAGAAAAAAGGGTGGATGAAGTCAAGCGCTGAATGTCTGATCACAGAGCCTGGACCCTTGTCGAGCTTCCCCGCGAGTCTGACATCCCAGCTGCAACTGCTGCCCGAGTTATGTCCGATAAACTGAGGATGGTCAAGAGGGTGGCGCATGGGTACCCAATTTTCTTATAGAAGCACGAACGCAGTACCGATTCTATACCTCTAGCAGTAATGTTCTCAGCATGAGATGTCACTCACAACTGTGAAAACGCACCCCGGCCCTAGATGAAATATGGGTGGTCTCGGACCTCGAGCCGAAACTCACAATCGTCAATTTTGTATGAATGCAGATGAGAAGCCGCCCGAGTTCTACCATGAAGAGTTACGTGGGCGCAAGTGGATGATCATCATAGCGAAGGATTCCCACACTGTGGCTTTCAGGCGGCTCTATACAGAGAATAAAATCGTCGCTGTCGGTGTATATTGCCTGTTCCTCGGCAATCAGATCGACAAATGGATGATACCACACAACTACAAGAAGGCCACCGTTGCTCGTCATAGTGCCAGACCCCGAGTAACTGTATTGTAGGGCAGTGCTGGGACACAAATACTGAGACCTGGGTTCAATCGCCCCATTCGCCCAACATAAAGCCGTTCGATTCCAACTGTTCTGGTCAGTCGAGGAGTACTCTCCGACGGCAAACGCTACAATGTTTTGTCATTCGCCGAAATTGGCATCAACAGCAATTTACTCGCACTTGTTGAAAAACCGAAGGTACCAGAGGTCCAAACGCTTTCGGGGCCCTGGGAGCGGGTCATTGGTGAAGGAGGGATCTACTTAACTCAAAGCCAAAATATTACTTTTCTATCTGTTTTTCTCTTCGTTTTATATGAATAAGATCTCGGCACTTTTGAATAGGATGACCTAATAGATGCTGTTAACCTACCAAATCCTCGTCGAATATTCTTATAGCATGGCCAGGAAAGAAAGGTTGGTCGAAATGGCTCCTTGAAGTCAGTGAGCACGATTACCGGAGATGGGCGGTTGTAGCCGGCGTTATTGGTGAAAGGGCTGCAAGACGTCCTTTGGCCACTCCCCACTCAGCCCTTCCACCAATCACGTTGACCAAAGCAGCCCGCCCCCGATCCTGTCCACGTCTTTGAGAATACATAGATGTGTATCGACTGGCAGGTACTTGCTGAATCTACCTACTAAGAGTACTGAGTAGCAAATTGAACAAACATTTCCGAAGCGGGATCTGCGCCGCTGAACAGCTCTTATCACAATAAAACAACTTTAAAAGCAAAATGTCTGTAGATTTGTGATACCTTTATAGACATTAGATGAAATGTCTGACAAGGGAATGGTTTGAAGCTCCCAAGAGCCTTGAATGCTGATTACGAATATGCAGATTAAAAGTGCTACGGGGACCTCCCAGACGAGATCTGGGTGGTCAAAGTTTGAGTTCTGGCTCGTAAGCGCTGCTGATCGATGCCTCGGCAGTGCCACCGTGGCCTCGTGGTAATGGTCTCGCTTTCAAGTCAAACGCATGCGGGTTTGCATCCGGTTGGCGCGAAAATTTTTGCTTCGCTCCGTATAAGAGCTTCAACTCTAATTTTCGAAATTCTTCCGAATTTACGGCCCAGCAGGGCAAGTAGATCAAGTACATCAAGTATACGACGTACTCGATCTAGTATGGATTTGGTCATATCTGCCCTCTCTGAACATATTACCCATCCGACAATTCAAAGTTTTAGCGAGAAATTCGTTCATGGGAGATTTCGACCCCCTGAACACGAATATCACTTCCTTCGACGAAAAAACGCTCGTCTGGCCAAATTGCGATTCTGGGCAAAACTTTGAATTGTCGGATGGGTAATATGTTCAGAGAGGGCAGATATGACCAAATCCATACTAGATCGAGTACGTCGTATACTTGATGTACTTGATCTACTTGCCCTGCTGGGCCGTAAATTCGGAAGAATTTCGAAAATTAGAGTTGAAGCTCTTATACGGAGCGAAGCAAAAATCTTCGCGCCAACCGGATGCAAACCCGCATGCGTTTGACTTGAAAGCGAGACCATTACCACGAGGCCACGGTGGCACTGCCGAGGCATCGATCAGCAGCGCTTACGAGCCAGAACTCAAACTTTGACCACCCAGATCTCGTCTGGGAGGTCCCCGTAGCACTTTTAATCTGCATATTCGTAATCAGCATTCGAGGCTCTATCGATGTACCTAGGTCTCCATTCAAAGTTCCATGGGAAGTTCAAACCATTCCCTTGTGAGTGCTGTAGGGCTAAGGAACAGCAAAGCTAGAAGGGCAAAAGGCGGCATTGGAAGGGTAAGAGATGGCTCACTTGCCCGGTAAGCTATTGCAATCCATGCACTCATTTCGGCTGCAATGGTCAACTCAAGAGCACTGCTTTACATGCATAGTGGTTTATCATTTACGGAATAAAGTCATAACTTAGTATGCACTGAATGCATTGATGACTTGATGACTGGACTACTAACTCCGGTTTCTGGTTCCCTCCAGTTTCAGATAAGACTCCGCTCATGTCTTTTCATGAGCTATGTGTCAATTCCATTTTATGCAGTGAATTTCTCTTGCAGTGTTGGCGGATTTGTGATTGGTGATGGCTTGGAGGTTGTACCGGCCTTCCATCATTCGGATCCTGCGCCATTATCAGACTCGGAGTGAGGAATCTCTATCAGTTTTTCTTTTTTCTTTCAGTATCTTTCTTTCCGTAACTGAGCTTTTTATGTTTTTTTTCCCGTATTTGTTAGCAAGGAGCATCATGCGCTGGGGATTTTAAGGCGTACAGCCCCCCCCCTTTCCATGGATTTTCGTGTTTTGTTTTCCATTTTTATTGCGTTTTTTCATTTGGGATTTTAGCGTTCACACCCCCACCCCCTTTCCATGGATTTTTGTGTTTTTTTTTCCATTTTATTTCGGTTCTTTCAAAGCATTCTTGGAAGAAAACCAATGCTGAGCTGAGTATTTCCTTTGGCTTCTTGACACCTTTCAGCACCGAACACCATCCAACTGTGTACGAATGAAACCCGAAACGGTGTAGGTTCCCAGGAGCAGCAAAACTGCTCCCTTTATTTACAGGAGGAGTTTAGCTCAGATGAAATGTTCCTTTAGCTTAAATGGAAAGTCATACGGAGACCCAACAAAGGTGAAAATGACAGGATCTACAACCATTATTCATTATCTTCCACCAGTGCCGTATCTAAGCTAGTAGGAAACCATAACACTTTTCATATATTCTATTAGGTACTATTAATAGGGATTGAGTGGGTCCCACATACAGTTGTGTTCAAATTCGCGCGCGCGGGAAAATGTTTGAGTGGCAACCGTTGTTAGAGCATACTTGCCAATACTCCCTAAGTGAGGCATTTTGGTTTGAAGAGCCACAGCTTTCTCAAAATGGACCGTTGGCGAAAAGAAGGACGCAGATTTGAGGAGCTACATTGTGAGCTCTGAAGCTTAGCTCAAAGTATTAAAATACACATAAATGCTGCCTGATACGAGCTATACGAGCGTTGAAAATTCATTGGGGATTTTTGATTTTAGATGCAAGTTTTTCCCCACTTTGAATGACTGTTAATCTCTTCCAGCGCAACCGTTTGCAAACATAAAAGCAGTTTTCAAGAGAGGGATTCAGCAACAACTTAGTTGTTCTTGAAGCTTCACAGCTTATGAGATAAATGCGTTGGGGATTTATTCGGGGAAACTCCGAGGAGCGCGAGAGACCCGTCTTCTATGTACCATTTCAACTAGGCATATGTAAGCGCTCAAGAATGTTTTCAGAACGGATCCAAGCTTGAATTAGAACTAGACGGTGCTGATAAGAGTCCATTAGCTCCACCTCATGATGCGCCATGCATTAGACTTTCTCGCAGAAGTGAGGGGGTGGTGCAACTTCTAGGTAATGCGGCCCGCGCAAGCAGAGGGTTTATGTTTATAGGGTTCAAAACTTCCAGGGCCTACGAACGGATTTGTCTGAGTGTACTGTTCCACGTGCTTACAAAATTACGTCAACTTATTGATTAATACTTTTAGTTGTTTTCATTTCGATATCGATTTTTTTGTGGTGCTCCTGTCACTTCCGCGTTGTTCGGTGTTGATTGCCCCTCTCATTGTGGTCCCCTACCTGTCGGTAGAATACGATCCCCTCTATCCCGAGCGATGATGCGCCCTGTTTATACAGAATTATATTCTTGCAAATCGATATTGTTTGGCATAAGAAAGAGCTTATCAGTTTTTCTGAATGTTCTGCCACATGTGTTCTGCCAATCTGATATCGGTACTTCTGATGGACGTGCTTTGTTTTTTTTTGTCTTTCGTTATTAAAGTATGTATCCACTTATAGCTGGTCATCCACACTATACAGAGCGTGCAAAATGTTGACATGTGACTGAACTGACCACAGCTTCGTCAACTAGGAGGGAAAATATTACTGCTGTTGAAGTCATAAGCCGTTAAGACAGCGTTGAAACTTTGCCTTGACGCGCTAAGCAGCGTCGCGCTATGCAGCGCGTCGTCGCGCTTCATTGAACACTACCATAGTAACAGTGGTAGGTGTACAATTGATATCGTTGTAATCGATAGAACCGTTTCAATAAGGACGAAACGAGCTCGCCCGCTGCTCCAGCGTTGGTTCTTTCTTCGCTGTGTCGATCGGAACCGATCAACAGAGCATGGCATCCGTGGGCGGGCTCGCTCCGCCCTTTCTTACACCGTCCCATTAGCTGCGTTGTTTCAACTACATTACGCGCAGAATTCATAACGTTCCAGCTGAAAGGAGGGTTTCGTGTTCTGTCATTCTGGAAAGGTCTGTGCCTGGGTCATACCAGCTCCTCTCTTCAGTCTCCACTCATTCATGGTGATCTGACAACCCAATTTTACTCGTTTGTTAGTAGTTGCTATGCTACAATTATGGTTCTGCCCAGAGTTTGAAAACGTGCCGAAATCCCCCTCCCCACCTCCTGCCCAACTAATCATAGGAGTTCAATAGTACCTATCAGGCTAAGTCGTTCTAAATTTTATTCTTCATTCTTTGAGCGCATTATATTATATGGGAGCATATTAATCAGCACGAAACATTCCTGATGTTGTCGGTGGTGTTGGCAAGTGTCCATGATGATGAGCTTCATGAATATGTTCGTTTAACCAATAGCAGTTCACTTCGCCTGAAGAGTAGCATTTTAAAACCTATGGGATAAATTCGCACACGAAAAAAACCAGGGAAATTCCTTTGAAGTCTTTGGAAGGCAACAAATCGGGCTCGCTGGTATACTCGAAATCCCTGAGATCGGGTAGGCGTGGCCGCATGTTTCAACTTAACCTGAAGGTGTCTATGCTTCTGGTGAGATATTTTCATCTTGACACAATTGTTGTCGTGTCTCTGTCCAACACAGAACAAGATGACAGTTGTCCCAGACTGGAATATTCCACGAGTAACCAGTTCCGTGCCATGTTCAAATGCCACGCCTACTCTGGCTCAGGGATAAGGAGTATACTTGCGCGCAATAAGGGATGGGTATTCAGCCTCGAATTTTGTGGCGTAGTGATCTGAACCATCAAACTACTGTTCACCGTTTCTTGACGTTTCTAGAGGTGATCATAAGAATAAAAAAAAATCAAAATAAGTTTATTTGAACCTCAATTCCCTAGCCTACGCTTCATTATGTGAAAACCGCTTCAAAAAAAGCGCTCCACGCCCTTACTGAGCGCTTCCTGGTTACTGCCCACAATTAAGTAAGGCTAAGGTAGTAGTAGTCTGGGGAGAAGCATAGGGCAAGAGTAGCTGATACTGAAAAATGGTGAACCATATACAGGAGGGCCAATAAAAAGTCACTTTTCTTCCTTGACTTTCGAGGCGCTATAAGTTACACTTTATTGAATTCTGATCGGACATTTTCACCACCATATTAAAGAGCATATTAAATACTATCATGACACTCCGCCACAGCCTTCTGGACGAGCGCCATCGAGAGATTCTGGCACGCGACCGCGATGTGGTCAGCGAGATAGTCGATTTCTCCGCCACCGTAGACCACCCTATTGAACTCCGCCCGAACCGGGTAATTGAGGGATTCAGGTCAGGTGACCTACTTGGATATTCCATCTCCTTTAGGTACTCAACCCTTCCATTCCAAGTAGGCGAGAGTTTTTCCAACGCCCTTCCGATTCCATGTGGTGGCACCCAATGCTGTAGCAGTACAAAGTTTCCAAGAAGGTACGGGCGACGACATGTGGGGAGGATATTCTTCTCGAGTTGCTCGATGTAACCGCCAGCGCTCACCTTCAGTCCGGGCCCACGAAGAAAATATAGGTCTTCCATTCCAGGTACGTCCGGTCCATACCATCAACCCGCGCCTTGGCGACTGTGGTGAAGATGATGTCCTAGACCGTAGCGACGTTGTCGGAGCTGCTCGATGTTGGAGGTCTTCCAGATCGAGAGTACTGGTCTCCAGGTAGCTATCCATGGGTGACTCCATACTAGAAGTTTCGCAGCTGTTTGGAGGTGACATGAATTCTGAAGGTCTTCTCCAGTCAGGCTGCGACTGGAGATGACTTCATATTTTGGTGTACATGAAGGTGATGGGCGAGAGCCAGCTCCTGCTTATAGAGGAACATCTTGGGTATCTTCCGCCCTGGTACTCGTATCCACGTCCTCTGTCTGGGCTGCGAAAACTTTGCTGATATGTGACTCGGTCGAAGTGACTTTTTTTTGCCCCCCCCCCTGTAGCACTTATCCATTAATCTATGAACTGCTTTAGCTGTTTCGATGTAATTACCAAGTTAATTAGGAGCCAGTGGGAACTATTTGAGTGAGGCCACCCCTCCGACTGTGCTACTCCAACAAGAGGTGTGAATTGAGCAATTAAAACACTTTCTTACAGCACTGTTTAGGACACGTCCTGTAGCTGGGGAAAATTACAGCAAAATACGACCCCCTCACCCTCAAATTGTTACCTTCTGGTACGACCCCTCTCCTCATCACCCGTCCTACCTATTTTACACAGAACGCCTCCCTCCTTCCTCCCAAATCAAATACGACTAGCCTCGCTGGGACCTCCAATGCACGGTGTTCCCTGCCGCGCTTTGATCACCAGGAATATGCCCCGATCCCCACTGCAGTAGGATGGCATCAGCTTATGAGCACAACACTTTAACACTCTCCTGGAATCAGCTGCTGAGCTATAGAGGAACAGAAAGTGGTGCTGATAAAAAGAATCGTTACCTTTTCCTTTTCACTTGAACTATGCCTCGTTTCACAAGCGAATATTCATTGGTATTCATCAACCTCAGTGCAGTCACTTCACTGGTTTGTCTGCTGATTTGGAGGACAATTAGACTGCATACGTGACGCGAAATTAACCTGAAATTCAGTCATATCTCAATTACGATAAGACAGCAAGTTCAAGGATGGGATCCTACCGTATCTCCGAAGAGGCAATATCTCGGCGACCGTATCCCTATGACGCCTGCAGCGATCGGACCACAGTGGAATCCGATACGAACTCGTACTTTGAAGTCTGGACAGTGGGAGACCACGTAGCTATAGGACTCCTGGAAAAGGGTGACCTCTTTTCAAGTCAATAAAGGCTTGGGGTTGCGTTGCTGGCTGAAGCACTGATTCCTGCCAACTGTGCACGGTGCGTAAGGCTAACAGTTAGGGACTAGCAGTTTATTGGGGCACGACGCGGCAGCTAATCAAATCCGAGTCGCAGCATCGCTCGTGAGCAGGCATTACTAAGTAGTTAACTTGAATAGCAATTGGGCGTTTCGTCTCAGGAAATCCCTCAATCTACAGCATTTTCTCAACAACCAATCGAAGATTGCGGCGTCGCTTGTCCGGGTGCGCGGTGGTCTAGCCGAGCGCCACGATTAAATCGCCACACCCTCCCCCACCTCGCACGCGCTATACTCCAAGTGGCCAAGATCCCGCAGCGAAACACGCACTCAACAACAAAAGTAAAAGGAGGGCGCTATAACTCGACTCGGAAGAACGCTTCGATGCTTGCTTCTCATAGGATAAATTGAGAAATTTTTGTAGTTTACGGAGGCAACAACGTACTGCAGTCTGTACTGAAGGTTATGAACGGAAAACTTGTTGAACTGTACCTTACCTCTCTGATATCTAAGCTGCATTCAGCTATTTCGATAATGTGACGACCCTCATTCTCATTCGGTACTCCTGATGCTACCATATAAGTCTCACCCGTAGTTTCGACCTTCAAGAAAAATTGTAAATCTTAAAATTTCAGATCTATTCAAACCAAAAAATAAACAAGACCTTGTAAGCGTCATGTTTTTTAATAATTGTGTCGAAGCGGTCAAAAACGTCGTTAAGAAAACTGATGACCTGAAGATATTTTCTACATATTTAGAAGTGGAATAATATTTCCACCCCACTTACCTCGTCAGACCTGCTCTTCCTGACCAATGCAGGAAAATCGCAGAGTTGCACAAAACATACAGTAGCCGCATCGTAACTTCTTGGAGGTATCGTACCGCCTTCCTTGAGAACTTGCGCTACGGACCTAATAAAAAAGGCAGAGGTCAACAATTCTATTATGGCTCCAGATATGGGGTTTTGCGCGATTAAGCACGCCGCCCAGTGTAGCTCGGCTATTGCTGCTAGTCAAATGCGTTAAAAAGTGATAATTAATCATAACAGGAGTACTGCTTGACAATTCTATATATGGTTCTGGTGATAGAGAGTGCTACTGAGGCTCGTTTTCTGAGATGCTTATCACGCGTGTTTGCAGTCGTCTTGGGTAGCGGCAGAGCATGCTCACTTTAGGTTATTGAGGAAAACACGACATTTAACCCTGATTTTACGCTGGACATTCTTTTGCTGAACCGTTAGAACCTTTTTTAAGAATTCAGCCAATGAGGTGATCAGCACTGGTGTCTAGGGCCCCCGATACTGCTCTTCCAGGATTTAGATGAGAAGCATGAGATAATCGATTAGTCTGGTTCACCTGCTGCCGTCAACTATGAATTTTTTTAAGTTTCTTTTTCGTTCCCAGGGAATATATTAGGCCTAAATATCAGGTAGTAATATTGGTGTACCGCCTTTCTAGCGGAGCTGACCGTAAAAGGGCACAGTTTGGCGGCGGGGAAGGGGCATTCTGCAATTCGCTACCGACCTAGAGCTATTTCATGAGCTCACAAGGGTTTGGAAGTTTTATCATGGTAGCTGAACGAGCCTACTTTAGCTTAACAAAAGTTCCCAGGTCTGACCAGCGTCTGGTTAAACCCCCGTCGCCGAACAGCGCCCCGTAAAATCAGCATTTTGAAGAAGTTTCCCATCGATAATTTTTGCCCAACAAAAATCAAAAAGGATAAAGTTCTCCTTCTGATTAATCCCTTTTTGGGATGTGGTACCGTATTCCACTTCCGTTCAGAATCGTACAGCCTTAGGGAGTACGATGTGGCGTTTGAAACGACTTCGGGGACCAGGAGAAGTACACGTTGGTGTTTTGGTTCTCCAAAACGAATCTGGTACCAGTTTATTGTCCCGGGGTAGTAGAAAGCTTGGTTGGCGTGAGCGAGAGCCGAACCGGGATTTGAGCTCTGGACCGCGCCCGTGATGAGCGTGCCACTTGTCACTAAACCACCTGTGCCGCTTTTTTGCCCAATATGCCGAATAATATTTTAGATGATCCGCTCACTAGTTCTCTTTTGTCGCGATCTGCAGCCAACGAAACACCCTGATATCTCACAAAAGTTAAACTTACGCTGGAAGCATCTCGTTCAGGAGACGGTTTGTTTGTTCCTGGGCTTCCTGAAGCATAGCGTTCCTTTCGGCAACAATCTGTTCGAGATTCTGCGCATATTTTTCGTTCATGCGTATCATTTGATCAACCAGGTTTCCCTTTCTAAAAGTCCACTTTTCCACAGTGCTGTAAGGGTAGTTCAGAATGGACGTTTAGAACGTACGATGTAGAAAATGCCTTGTTCACAGCTGTTAGAACATTTCGAAGACTGGGCCTCGACTCGGCAGCTGTGGTATAGCACTCCTTCATCAGACGAGCAAGAGCCTAAATGTGCTCGATTTTCGAAGTATGTAAGGGGGAGGTTGCAGAAGGTTCTCCAAAGATGCAGTTGAATCAGAATAGTTCAGGCAGCTGGCACGATGACTGATGGTGGGCGGTTACTGTCTTCACTGGAGGAGGGCCTGATTGTGGTATGGCCAAACGCCCTCTTGCAGCCCTTGCACCAATGGCGTCTGCAGTGACCACCCGCCTCCAACCATCGTGCCCACTCAAAGGTTCTCATTCAGAACATAAGGATTTTTTTCATTTCGAGGATGTATTCAGCTATTGGATTCACTCATTTATGCTCAAGAACGGCGATAGTAGTATTAGAGAACTCGCTGAAAGGCCCTTCTAATGCTTGTAGAAGGGTCCAGCATCGCTGGGAGCAATCCAGAGGATGGGAGAGGGGGTTCTGTTCCATAGAAATTGTTCTGAGTCGCTATGGGAGTTTTTCGACTTCTCCCGACCTTTTCCGTTTCTTTTGGACTGAATATCCATGTCCTTCTTCAGCACCGTAGCAAAAGTACTTTGCAAATATAGTCCTTCACAACAGACCTGACGGGGTGTGTCAGTGTGGCGTGGACTTGGAGCGGCACCAGCTCATTGCCCATCAAAATCCACGTCACACTGACATGGTGCGCAGATTCGGTGGTTGAAGACTGTAGTACTTCTGTGAGTTGTAATGAAAAGTTGTCTAGAGCTGTTATAACAAGTCGGCTGCTGTTAGCACCCTTCTTTCCTCTCCCTGACGCCTGTTTTTTGGGGAGTGCGAAAACATGTAGGAAGATTTGGGAAGATGATAGCTAGGATGAGAAAGGGGACCGTAATCATGGTGCCGTACCTTGGGAATGTGTGGCACATATTTCTTGATTTTACAATTTACCTCTATTTAGTAGTGAAGAACAAAAGATCCCATAATGCGATGTTAAGGGTCCCACCTTCTGATCAGGCGAACCGTCGTAATCGTCTGCTTCAGGTTTCAAGCGGCGCTTGAGTATCTCGGCAACGAGCGCTGAAATTATGGTGATATTATCTCATATTATAGTATGTTCGCTTTCAAGGAAGCTAAGACCGTCCGAAGAAGGGGTACTGTCTAAAGAAAAGGTAAGGTAAAATATCCTGTACGCTGCGGTCGTAAGTGTGAAACTTGAATTTAACAGTGCTGGAAGAAAGTCGTACAGTGGTACTAATTCGGGGAGGGGAGTATTAATGATGTAGCTATTTCATCCATCTCCACGAAGCGCATCCATGTACCGACTATGGGGAGGGCGTGGCTGAGTACTTCATTGATGTACGATGCATTTCTCGTTGGTACTTCCGCTTGGGACAACTGTTAGGTGGTTTTGTGCTTGATAAAAACATGAATACAATTGTCAATTGACGACATTGTTCACTGAAAATGGATTCGCCATCTCTTCTAAATGAAATATGCGGCCACGCCCTCCCAGACATCGGGTGTGGGGCCACAGTTCGTAATTCGCTATTGTTTCGATTTTATGAATTATAGAATGTTTTACGTACCAAAATGTATTCAAACTAACACCTAGAGCCTGAAATTGTGCATGTGAGAAAAATGCCGCAGGCCTCACCTTTTCCACGTAGGCCCGTCTTGGCAAACGGATCCTCTCTGTACATTAACCAATATAATATCATGCCTAAACTATATATATCGCCTTGAGGTGATCCACGTGGATAGTTGTCACCATTTCCAGTTTCCTTCAGCAGCTCTGGGGCGAACATCGGGAAATCTAAACCATTGGTGAACAGTTCTAGATAAAAGCACTAAAAACATACTGACTTGTGGGAAAATATGGAGCATTTTTTCGGTGAACGATAACTGGCTCAAGCGGGAACTTGTGTAAGAATAAAACAATAATCGAAGCTTTTACGAAAAATACTTGGGGTCCTCGCGCTCATGCAAATCTAGGCGTCCTTCCTTGTTCAAGTAGTCTGACCCTCGACCTCTAGATTATACCACTTTCGCGACTCCACTTAAAGACACATAGTACGCTCACACACATTGAGGGTGTATGAGACTATCAGCCCCCAGCTGTCGATGTGTCGTGGTCCCCCCGCCCAAACATGCCCAGGAATGGAGATACAGGACCGTGAAACACGCTAATTCCTCCATGCTCCGCCTTACACCTTTTTGCGGCGCAGATTCCCGTCCTTCATAACATCCGTTGCAAGCGCGCGTGTCGCGTGCGGCTCCTTGGCACTTTGCCAAGTCCTTTTGCGCTTTCAAATACAAGTAAAACGCAATTTCCTGATGCGGATAACATTGGAGGTGCTGCAAAATAAGAACAGAAGATGATGACGAGGGTCAGAACTTAAAAGCAACTGTGCCACTTCTGCAACATCCCTCGGAGGCCGCGTATTTCCACGAAACATGAAAATAAAACGGCATACTCGTTAGTTTGATACAAGCAAAACGCAATTTCCTGATGCGAATAAAATTTTAGGTGTTGCTCATACTTCAAAATCCATGTACAAGGAGATGAAGATGACACAGGCTAGAAATGAAGCACAACGATGTAAATGTAAATAAAACAAAAATGAAAAAATCAAGGAAAGGCAAATTAGTTGAAATCGCCTGTAAATTTCTACGATCCGGCGCGAATCCGGCGCCAAAGCCATAGAAATACTTAGAATAAACGAGTGGGACGCTTGGATTGTTTTTATTCTCATGTTTTCTGGAATGCGCGGCCTCTGATGGATTCTGCGGATGCAGCCGAGTTGCTCTTGAGTTCTGGCCCTTGTCATCATCTTCTGTTATTTTGTAGCACCTCCAATGTTATCCGCATCAGGAAATTGCGTTTTACTCGTATTTGAGAGCGCAATTAAAGGACTTGGCAAAGTGCCAAGGAGCCGCACGCGACACGCGCGCTTGCAACGGATGTTATGAAGGACGGGAATCTGCGCCGCAAAAGGTGTAAGGCGGAGCATGGAGGAACTAGCGTGTTTCACGGTCCTGTATCTCCATTCCTGGGCATGTTTGGGCGGGGGGGGACCACGACACATCGACAGCTGGGGGGTGATAGTCTCATACACCCTCAATGTGTTTTGAACGTACCATGTGGTCTTTGAGAAAGAAGGCACTGAGGCTTATGTGAGGGGCGGCTCTGACCCCCTTCCCACCACTAGTTGCTCCGCCTACCAAAACTCAAAAGGCTTTTTGTAGAGTTAGTGAGATAGGGCGAATCTGTCGGCGAAATTCCTCATAATTTGGAGCACTGACAAAAGGTGTGTGTGGTGTTGTTCCACAGGTACTGATGGGGAGAATGGGCGCCTTCGTAGGACCAGCAAATCGCCTAGGCTAAATCTGTCTATCCGGTCGATAGGTATCTAATGCTTCTGCAGGTACACGAATATGCTTGCGCTTCACTGTTCGCCATTTCCCCTAGTTAGTTGGGTCCCACACTGTTTCTTATCAGCATCGTGATAGAAATGGTGGTACGAGAAGACCCATCCCTGGCAACAACTACTACTTTCTCACAAGCTCCCGGCTTCCTACAAGCTCTTCCGAAATTTCCCATATTATCCGTTTCTTGTCACCCAGAAAACTTCGTCGAGTCGGGAAGGGGGGGGGGGGGGTATATAGTACACATAAAGCAGGAAAAATTCGCGAAAAGTCAACAACCAATTTTTTCCCAACGCGGCGTATTTCTTTCAAAACCACATACGACTCCCCCCCCCCCTCTCCCAACAACGACCAAATACGACTCCTCTCCCCAGGCAAAAGGTACGACTCCAACTATATGTTTCACACAACGATGCTGTAACCTGTTTATAATGCCCTAAAGGGTATAAAAGAGCCCATTCCCCTCAATGCTCGTATACCCCTTGTCCAATGACTGACTTGCTGACAATATTGTAAGCCATTGCACTTGCTGATAATGTTGTAACTTACAATCTGGATTGAGGTGATATTCTGGCAAGCACTGCAACACCTTGTCAGTCACGAGTTCATGTAGCATACTGGCCACTCCAAAATGTGTTAGCTTCAGTACCCAGTTAGAATCTACAAGGCAGTTTTTCGTCAACAACAGACCGTGATAGCGTATTGGCGACTTGTGGATATACTGTAGACCCTGAAATACCGTACTGGTCCGTGTACAAAAGTTGGTTTCCTTGATTTCAATGGTGGCTTTGGATCAGCGTTCAAGTGACACAAGGTAATAGAATCACTCAAAGCTCAGCATATTTTATGATCGCGGGTTGTGATCCATACATCCAGCTGATGTCATCGCAGTGCGAAGGGGTGGTGTCAGGAGGCGTGAGTGAGGCAGTCTGCGTGGTTTTCTATCACTGGTTGTTTCCTAGCTGAAAGCGGATACTATTGGTAGGAAGTACAGTCGCGAATGGGCTCATTCACGCCTATTGACACCACCTTGCGGATTGCGACGACATCAGCTGTATGTAACTTGGGCGTGGAATTGAGGAGGGTTTATCTTCGACAGTAGAACGTTCGGAACAGCGTTGTGCAGGGACTTTCTACCACGAAAACCCTTATTAGGTACGCCTAAATATTCCTCTAGCAAAACTGTTGCCACTGTAGTCCGGAATTCCTAGAGGGCAGAGTTAAACTAGCAATCGGGACTACACTTGCGTTCATGCACAACGGGCTCAGTTCTTACTATTCAGCACTGAACTCTCGGTCTCAAACTTCAAGGGAAACCACTGGCTGAAAAGCTCGAAAGCGGAACAAAGTTCTCACCTTGAGTATATCCCTCAAGAACGCCGACCTGAATAAATCATCGATAGGAAAGTCTGGATCCTTTATAAAGTCCTGAAATGAATGAATGTTCCCATCACTAAGGATCCGCTCATTTCATCACTTCTCGGGCGACGTTCAGGACATCCAAGGCGCGCAATCACGAGCAAGCCAACTAGTGTCCCTGGTTATCCGACTCAGTAAATGAATGAATGTCTTTCTATAACCAACACATCAGAACAATGGAATTAATCTAGCAGTGATTCTCGATACTTGGAACGGAGTAAATCGATTTATCGATTGCGGGTTTTTTTAGACAAAACCTCAAAGCAGACCGTGGACCTATAAACAAATGAAAAGCATCCCAAGCCAATTACCTAGGAAAACTGCCTCGTCTGCAATACCGTTTTTCAAGGCAGCGGACACGAATGCTGGAGGCGGGCGGCTGTTGCCAGCGTCATTGGTGGAAGGGCTGCTCGAAGCATTGTGACGCGTGGCCAAATTCCCTCTTCGAGCCTTCACACCAACGAAATTGGCAGTAACCGCTCGCCATCTGCAGTCATGCCCACTGCCCTTGATATGCATGCCCTAAACTAGATTGCGCATTTTTCACAATGCAGGAAAGTGTAACAAACCTCGAGTGATGCGCGATCGATTAAGGCGTAGAGAATATAAAAATTTTCGAGCTCATTGGCACAAATTCCCAGAAAGGTAGAAAGGTTGTCATGATTCAGTTGTCGCATCTCGTACAAGAATTTTAGTTCCGGTCTGAAAGAAAATTACATGCAAAGCGAGCGCGGAATCCCAGAGGTCTACGATTTATGAAAACCAAGACACTGCTCCATGAGAACTTTTTATTTGGCAGGCTTTTCTTGTAGGCAACGCTCAGAGTCTGCGACGGCGACGGGTTCAGTAGCGCGACTGCAGTGATTCTACAGTTCTGGAACGCGTAGTGTGAAGGGTTCCTAGGAAGTGCATGCTGACCAGGGAAGGTACAGGTCAGTCCTACCAGTTGCATCAAAGTTCACACCATTTTACGCGTTTTGAGGTTTGAACTCAAATTAATGTAAATTCCAAATTTGCGAAACGGTTCTTTGAACGGAGTGAGTGATCCAATCCAACTTTTTTCGAAGTTGAGAAAAAAATCTCAGATTTTGTTAGATTGTCACTCGTGGAGGTTATTCGATCCCCTGAACACGAGCACTACACCCGTTTTGCTCGGGGTCGACTATTTCTCACGCTACAGGGGCCGGCCCGTGGGCGCCAGCGCGAATTCAAGGAAAAACAGTGGGGGGAAAACCCCAATGACTCCGTTCAGAGAACCGTTTCGCAAATTCTGAAGGTGGATATGAGCTCATCGCCTCAAGTCGCGTACAACGATGTGCACCTCATTGCAAATGTGCCGTACTGACTTGTTGACCTTCCCTGGTGAGCAAACGAAAACAATTATACTCCTTATCCCTGAGACGGGGTAGGCGTGGCATTCGAACATGGCACAGAACTGGTTACTCGTGGGATATTTCAATTTGAGACAACCGCCATCTTGTTCTTTGTTGGACAGAGACGTGACCACATTTGGGTCAAAATGAAAATATCTCTCCAAAGCATAGCCAGCCGTTTAGTTGAAGCACGCAGCCACGCCTACCTCATCTCAGGGGTTTCGAGTGTACATCGCTAATTGCAGTACTACAGATAAGCTCGCGAAATGCACGACTGAAAGAATCGGGTCGTGAATAGGACAAGCCCGCCATTGGGGGAGCGTTTTCTCAGAACACCACACCCCCTCCCCCTCAGAAGCTTCTCCTTTGGTGCGACGTCTTCTCCCATTCTTACATACCATCTTCCAAAATTTTTCCATCTTCTTAGCTCATTTCCGGAGAGGTATATTGGGGGGGGGGAGTACATAGCGCATTGGAAACAGGAAAGCCACCTCACACTGTGCGACATTCCTATAACATATATAGTTCATGGCTCAGGTCTTTGAGTACAACGACCCTAAAGACACATTTTACTTCCACCCAAACAATCAACGTTCTGTGTGGGGAAAGCTTATATGGGCAATAGACGACCTTGTACCGTTTCGCGTCAGGAAATATAAGGTAGGAGCGTTAAGGCTCAAGCTTACTCAAATCGGTCCTCCCGAGCTGAGCGCAGGTAACCCCACCCGAGTTGGGTGTTTCAACAAGCGGAGCGCCATTGTTTTTCCACTGCGACCGATGGCAGATTGCGAAATGCCGTCCGTATCTAGGCTCAGAATAGTTGTATTTCGAAGGTTACAGTGCTCGAGTTGTTTTATTTTATATTTGGTTTCTAAGTCTAGAACTAACTTGGTCCATTTGATCTTCTTCATGTGCTTCAGAGCGATAAATTCTGCTTTATTACTTCCAAGTAATGCATACGAGGCCACAGTACGTCGTTTACCAGAAATCCCATCACCAGCTTTCGATCCTTTGAAATTTGCCTGCAGTAGAAAATATCTAAGGTATCTCAATGTTGTTGTGAACACTTAGCGGCGCTACGTGCTTCGAGGCAAGGCACTGCTCATACCGCGTCATTTGCTGACGCGATCAAGTAACCTAAACTTTTCGAGGGGGGG